TCGACAGCAGGCATTTGCGGGGCCTTATCCTCTAGTTGGCTGTGATACCAGCTATGAGCTTGCATGAAGTGGTTCGCCATTTAAGCGGAAAGCATAACTACTCCACTCAGCTTCTAACGGCTGGTCAGAACGCCCTGCCCCACTTCATTGCAGGCACAACAGTGACCCTTCCACCTGGCCCCAAAAGCAGCCGAGCCAATGCACTAGTGGCACAGTCACGACATGACCTCTGGCAGCCGTCAGCGTTCACTCCAGGCTCACGAGTCAGACATAGATGCAGGAAAGTAACATGCATTGTTGTAGTGAACGACACACCTATCTCCTGGAGCATGGCTTGCCACTGTCACAGCAACTGTACTACTTGTATCCAGAGACGTCCTCGGGGTAACTGTGAAAGCAACAAGGTAATGACTTTTGGGCTGCACTCCCCCGCGGTGCTCCTTCAACAGGTCTTCTTTTTCTTGTTTCGAGGGATCCGCCCTTGGCAGTCATTTCTTGGCATTCACGCCGTTCGAGGATTCGTCTTCTGGATACCCATGCTCATGCAGTACGCTTGCGTATTCACATCGAGGATGGTAGTTTACACAAAGACACCCTATGCTCCCACGAGTGCGCTACGCAAGCCGCTCTGCACGTGCCCCCTATCCCGTTGGCAGCCGGGTCCCCCGGTCCGCCCCTTCCCTGGCATGCGCGCGTGTGCAAGGAAAACAAGATCCTCAGGCTATTCAGGGAAACAGGTATACTTAAAATGCCGTAAAACCCTTTCCTACACCCATGCCGGCGCACCTTCGGATTCCTTTCAACCCTCGCCCCTGGTGCAAAAGCGAAACTCAGGCTGAGGTCATGTGTGTATCCGTAGCCCAGGCAGAATAGGCTGTACGAATGGCAAGATAGGGGGAACAACATCAACAATGCAGGAGCCCTATGTTGACCAAGCCTGGTGCAAAAAGGGGCCGCCTCTGAGGCTCAGGTGAACGCTCTAGCCACCACTGCCGCGCCGGTTTGTCACACTGCGCCTCCCACTCTTCTTGGGCTCTGGCTACTTGTTCATACTCCTCATCTTCGACTGCCGCCTGGAGGGCCATCTGTTCATCCGAGCGCATCTCTTCGTACTGGGCTTCCCAGCTGGCAGGGCTGCGCATCTGCCCCCCTGGGTCCGCGGTATGTCCACTGTGTGAGGGGCGCCCGCACCCTCATGCTCTGTCGGTCGCTCCTGGCGGTTGTAGGGGATTGCCTCAAGCTCACTGCTGCTCTGCTCAAGTTGCGTGTCCCCTGCTTGCTGAGTTGGGCCGCCATCACCGGGTCTTGCTGTTGGACTCGGACGCATGCGAGCTTTTGCTTCTGGAGATAGCCATTGCCAGTACTGGTCCGCAGCCTCTCGATCGTCATCTGGCTCGCGTTCTCCTGCTTCCCGTCTGAGTCTGGCGCCCCCTCATCGCCTTTGCGGCGCACGCGGGTTTTTGGTCGCCCACCATATTCCGCATTCTGCCTGCGGCGGGATGCCGTCTGCGCGCCAGCGCTTTCCATGCGGCGGGCTGTGATTGGTGGCGCCTGGTGCCCTGCTATGCTGCGGAGCTCGCGTGACTCCTTTGCTGTCAGCCTGGGCACCTTGCGGCGTTGCTTGCCACACCGTTTGACGGCGCGACTGCGAGGGTGCTGTCCATGGCTCTCTCCGATGTCCTTGCCCTCCACGTCGTGGCCGCTGCTGCTGTTTGAGGAGTCTACGGTCACTGCCGCAGTTGCCACATTTTCCCCCGGCACATGCTGCGCCAGACTGGGCCTCAACGCGATCCTCAGCTTGAAGAGTTCACCGGGCACCCTGCCGTTGTCCGCTTGGGCATACACTGCACTGATGAGTTGGCTGCGATGGCCATATACCTTTCCGGCACTCCCACAACCACGGCATCCAGGATAATTTGTCTGCTGGGCGCATTCAGCGACTGCCAGGAGTGCTGTAAGCCCAGTAAGTAGTTGGGTCCGGGGCTGGGGTCTCGGTCTGTCGAGTCTCATCTTCTGCAGTCTGCTGAAGGTTCGACCATGCCTGCTGCAATGTCACCTGATGCTTGTTCTGCTGCGTTGTGGATTTCGTTCTCCTTGCTTGTTGCAGGTTGTCCAAGGCTTCTTGCAGGACTGCTCGCCACCTCCCTCTCGCCAAGAGTCGCAGTATCTCCTCGACCACCCCAACGTCTGAGGTGTCGTGCCAGTGGCCCAGGAGCGGCTTGCGATCCCAACGTGTCTTAGAGATGTCAGGCCACAGCTTGCATCGCGGCTTGATCTGGATGGGCTAATCCGGGGATCCCCAGCATAGTCTTGATTATCTTCGGCAGGCAACTCTGCGGCGACGTACGCAGCCATCGAATCAGTGGTGCCCTGAGTTCTCCCACGGCAATGCGGACATTGGCATAGTCGTCAGTGTTTTTCCGGCACCCCGGCGGCATGGCGCCAACATGGCGAGGAGCGTGAGTGAGGGTTCCGGGTTGGCCTGGTCCGGAAGGAGGTCAAGGATGCTCTCTTGCAGCTTCTGCTTCTCTTCATCACTAAGCGCCTTCCAAAGGACATCCGTGGCCGTGCTCTGTCGAGGTGGTCGTTGTACGAGGGCGGTCCCGTCGTTCTCCTCCATCTCCTCTGGTTCCTCAACGGCGATTTCTTCCTCACTTTCTTCATGAGGTCGAGGTTCCACTTCAAGTGCGTCTTCGTCAGCTTCGCGGCGGACATCTTCGTACTGGAGGCGCTCCTCTAAGATCAAGGTCATGGTGTCCGCCGCTTGCATCAAGGCCAGTTGGAGGCCTATGACCGCATAGGCAATTTCTCGGTGACTGAGTTGGGCAGCCACCGTCCTGGTACGCTGCTCCAGTCTCGGCGGGCTTGGTCTTCATCTATTAATTCTAGAATTGCCAGCCAAAGGGGTCTAAATTCCGCTGAAGTGAGCCCATCTGGCAGGCCATGTAGACTTAGAGGATCCAGGCACTGCAGTTGCTCTCTAGTGGCACGTGTTTCCATGTCCTCTGGCTGCGGCCCTGCGCCCGCAGATGCGTCGGCCTCCTCACCTCGACGCCCTCGTCTGCTTCGCTCTCGCGGCTCTCGGTCACGTCCGGCTGGGGTGTCTTCTTCTGCCCGACCACTTAATTCCTCTACTGCCCAGTGTCCTGGAGGATTCTGAGAGGACTACCCCCGGAGCACTCAGGGAAGGCGGTCCTGCGATCGCCCTGACTGAGAGGCGCCACGGCGCGGTGTGCATCATCACAAGCTCGTCCGAAATCTCACCAGAGTCGCCAGCTGTTGCCGTGCCCCGAGGGGTCGTGGCTGCCGGCGCGCCCAGCGCCGGTCTGTCTGCCAGTGACTTGTTTGGATCATCTTTCTGCCGTGTCTCGGGGAGTCGTGGTCATTGACGTCCAGGTTGACGCGCGTCCTTCCTCCACTGCACTCCAGGTAGCTGCTTCCATCATCACGAGGGTCACGGCAATGGCCATCCATGCCAGTGGAGCCATAGCAAGCGCACGGAAGGCGAGGAGACCAGCGATTGGCCGACTCTCCTGCGTTTCCCTTACACCTGGGTGTGCTTAGCGCGGTACTCGTGGCTTGCACACGTTGTGGGGCTTCTACGGCTTCAAGGTTGCTCCTTGAGGTCATCATTGTGTCTGTGTATGCTCTGCATGGTGTCTTGCTTTTAGGGTGATTGGGTTTCGGGATGCTACCTGCTATACTCAATGGTTTGGTGTTCCAGAATGTCTGATTGGACTTGCGTTGTCGCGCCTGGCGCGCTCCAACTGACGGCTGAGTGCATGGCAAAGGCTCCAGACTCAGACGTGCAAACGCTAGCCCCAGTCATTACGCAGCGGTTTGTGCGGCGGGGTCGGCGAAGCGGTTCTCATCGGGCGGTGTCGGTACGGTGCCAGCAGGCGCCGTGTTCGGTGGTGGTGGTGGGGTGAGGGTGGGGATGTTGTGTGGCGGGCAAGGGGTGTACGGTGATGCAATCAGGCAGTCTCTACCACACTTGCATCCGTCTCTCACTCTCTCAAGATCACTCGTCGGTTGGCTGTGGCTTGTGCTGCTGGTTGATTGCTGGTTGGTGGGTAACGGTGTGTTCTTTGTTAGTTGGGGGCTAGGTTTTCCAGGGATGTCTGCCTGCCTGTGGCCCACGCCACGTCGAATCTCTTGACGAAAGCATCTTCAAGCGAGGACCACTTGCTTCTTGCCAGGGGTGTGCTATGACTTCCAGCATCCTTTCTGTCTCAAGCATGGCGTTGTACCTGTGTGGGTGTCTGAGGCCTTTGGCTGATTGCTGCTCTTTCTTCCACCAGGCAAGGTTTCGCCACTGCATTAAAGACGTGGCATCGTCCTGGTGTCTGGCGAGGTGCCCATGTAGGCGCCAGACCAACTTTAGTATGATGCTGCTCCATCTCAAGTCTTGTCGCTGAGCTAGGACCACCCTGGTGTAGCGTAGTTCCACTCGAGCCCCTCTTCGGTCGGCCTTCTCTTCACCCCGAGCATCTGTCTCAACTGGAGGAGCTGGAGCGTGTTTGCCCCTTTCAACAAGGCATCGTGCGGATGAGCGGCGCCCACCGCCCAAAGGGCGGCCGGCGCTACGAATCGGCCATATGCAGCAAGTTTTTGTTTGTGTGATCCGGGTCCCTGTAACATGGCTTTATGCGCCCCATATGCCGCTTTGGCCCTCGGGAGATCTCGCCCAAACATGCTACCACATCACTTCCCATCGCAACCGGTGCCCCTCAAACGCTGATCATCCCGCCCGCCTCACCCTTGACTTCTTTGCCTCCCACAGTGAGTGTCTGCTCGTGCTTGGATGAACATAGCGGGTCTTGGTGGGGTGGATGTGGCGAGGCTGTCCAACAGGAGCTGCAGGAAGGGTTTGTGAAGGGCCCAGAGGTACACGTCATCCTGAAAGCCCGCTGTGTGGTGCGGTAGGGGTGGTCCCTTGTCCGGGGTTCTCTCCCTCGTTTGTGCTGTGGCTTGCTGCGCCGCGAGGGCTTCTGTCTCATTCATGACGTCTCCAACCACAGAGGCGAATATGACCGGAGAGTCCGGAGACCCTTGCCGTACGCCGTTGGTTTGTGGTAAGCTGTGGCGTTGCTCACCAAGTCAACCCAGAGGCGCGCTTCCCAGGCCCAGCCTGCATCCCCCAGTTTGTCACTACTTGTCTGCACAAGGCACAGCTGGGATACTAGACACGTCCACTTTAGCGACATGGATGGGTATGTCCCACTCGCGGCAAATGCGGATGGTACGCCTAAGCAGCAACATCAGTTCAGGAGCCTGTCTCCCAGGCCTGGCGAATTGATATTTTGCATCCCTCATGATTGCTTCCCCCACCCTACCCAAAAGGAGTTGGGCTTGCCATTTAAGCATGCTGCTGCTTAGCGTTATGGGTCGGGTTTGTCCCCAGTCGGAGGGCTGCCTGGCTCTGGGGAGGAGGACGGTGATGGACTTCTTCGTGTTGGGGGGCGATCTTCCTTTATACAGCGCATCGTTAAACTCTTCCAGCAGGGTAGCCTCCCAGCAGTGGTGCTGCAATAGAAGCCGCAGGGCCTCATAGCTGATGCCATCCGGTCCCGTGCTTTTTCCTTTGGCCCAGGTTTGTGTGCTCAGTATCAGCTCCTCTTTGCTAAAGGGCCGCCACCTCACCCTCTTACATGCGCGCTGCAGCTGGTCCCAGATCACCTCCACTCCCTGTTTCACCTGTTCCGCCGGCATCTTGGCAAAGATCCCTGCGAAGTGTGTGCGCATGTCTGTCTGCCATCCTTCGGCGGTGGTCAACTCCTCTTCCCACACCTGCGTTCTCTTTGCCCCCTTCACTGCTCTGAGCGCCTGCCAGTCCTCTCGCAACACCGCGCTAAGTAGGTCCCTCTGCCGCTGTTCCTTTTCCTGTGCTCTGAGGCGCCACATCTGTTTCCAGACCATCCTCGCTTGCTGCCCGTCCCTGGTCTGTTTTGCCCTTCTGCGCAGCAGCTTGACCTGTGAACTGTATGACCTGTAGTTGCGCTTGGGGTGATGGCATTCGCCACTTCTTGTATGCTCTGCTGCGGGTGTCCCCGTAGGTGCTGCTTGGGCCAGGGCCTCATCCACTGTCGGTGTCGATTTTAGCTCCTTCGGGCACACGTGTTCCCTCTTCCTGATGCTCCTTGCCCTGGGCATGCTCCGGTTTTCCAAACACGGCCACAACACTGACTCCCTCATGATCGCTCGAGGCCACCTGTCTGAGGGCATGGACTGCTCACGATTTTCCGGGGGCGGTGTGGGTCGGTCGATTGCTGTGGTGGTGCGCTCAGGTCATGGTCATGGTACCACTGTGTACTCAAGGCCCCTCGCGCCGTGCGGTGCGTGAGCTCATCTGTTTCCCTGTTCCTGGTCAATGTCTCATTGAAGTCCCCCATAACGACGAGAGCTTGTTCCTTGACAATACGCATGTTGCCCCACGTATCTAGCTGCTTCCCTGTCTCCGTGAGGGTGGCTTTGGGGGGCAGGTGGACGTTCAGGACCCCCATCTTTTCTCGGCGGTGGCCACGCATACCCCAGCCCGTTGGTCTGCAACTGGCGATGTTGACCTCTTGAAAAGCCACCAGCGCCACGTCTCCCAGTCCCATGAACCCCAATGTTTCCAGGATGTCAGGGAGCCTTTATCTGCATACTGCCTAGATTCCAGGTGAGGAAGCGCTTGCGGTCCCTGGCCCGTTCCCGTCCCAACCCTTGCTCCCTGTGTGCTCTGCCCTGGGTGCGTCTGCTTCTGCTTCTTTCTAGTCTGTCTGCTGCGAATGTCAAATCCCCGCGAGGTACGCTCTTCTGCCCCCGCGCTCTCCTCTGCATGTGACCTGTAGCGTCTCCCCCGTGACTTGTTTTGGGGGGCCCCTGGTTCAGGCAGGGGTTGTGTGTTGCGGGCTCTGCTCGCCTGTCCTCGAGCGCAACTCACGTCTTTTTTCCGAATGGCATCGGGCTGTTCCGGTTGATGGTGAGTGAAGGTGACACCCGGTGCGCCAGGACTCTCTGCCTGGCGGTCCCAGTGCCTCCGCTGCTGCAAACTCAGGCGCACCCCCCACGGCACATCATCCAGCAGGTTATAAGGGGTCTCGGTAGGCATGGCCATCGGTGGCGACTGGGTGTCTGGCTGTCAAAAAGGTGTCTGTACACGGCGTGCCGGTTGAGCAGACTGTCCTGCCCCCACCGTCAGCGAAGCCACTGCAAATTGCCCATGCTCTCTAAGAGAGCCCACGCTCTTTGGGCCAGCAGTCTCAGGTAAACACTCCCGAGCTCGAAAGGGTCGGCCCCAAAAACTTGCATGTCCCATTCCGGGTCAGTGCTTGCATGGATGCCAGTCATGAATTCTGGGTCAGCCATTGTCGGCGCTTCGGGTCAGCTGATCGCCTCCACGAGCCTGTGCCAGCGGTCAGCGAAAGCCTGCGTCGATTCTTTGGTCCTCTTGCACACGGTTTCCGCGTCCACCCACCCGTAGTCGGAGACAAGCACCCCTCCTGATCCTGAATGCATCCCACTGCCAGCGACCTTGTCTCCCTCGATGAAGCCATTCCACGACGATAGTCCACTCTGATGGCTCCAGGCGAGGCGAGAGAGGGTTGCCACTTTTCTCCGCCCCCTCCAAGATCGCCCTCTTTGTTTTCGCCGTAGTTCTCGTTCTTCTCCTGACCTCCGGTGGCTGGGACAATGCCATCCAAACTGTGAGCTCCTTGCCTCGGTCATCCTTGTGCCCCGTCTTGTGCTGCAATTTCCTCACCATCTCGACGGCTCCAATCGCTCTCCGCGTCATGGATTGAGGGCTCTCCCCAGGCTAGCAGACCAAGGGCACAACTACGAAGCCATTCTGCTTGCCCGGCACAAAGGCCTCAGTCATAGTAAGCGGCAAGCCTTGGGCCTTCGCGAAGTCCTTGGCATTCTGCAGGACGTTCTCAGCATCGCTGTCGGAACGCCAGCCGCCCAGGATCACTGCCAGGCCACGGTCATCGCCAGTCTCTTGCCCCGGGTGGCGCCATCAAGGGCTTCCAGGCGGCGGACCACATCCGCTATCGCTTTGTCCTGCTCCTGGCTGCGCTTGGATTGGTGCTCTACCGCGCTCTGGACGCCATCCAGCTGCTTGGTCATCTCCTTCTGGCGAGCATCCACTGTGCGTATCAGGTCTAACGCTTGGCCCACTTTATCTGACACCTGGTCCTCCACCGATTCCATTCTCTTGGTAAGGGTCTGCAAGGTACCCGTAAGAGGTGCCAAAGCTCTGGTAAGGTCCTCAAGCGTCAAACCGGCAGGTTGTTGGATGTCCCACCTTGTGCGCTTGGGGGATGACTGGTGTGCATTGGAAATCTCCATGGGGAGATTCAGCAGGTCCACGTCAGCCTCCTGTGCCCCAGGAACCGGCGTTCTCATAGCAGCTTCCAGTCCACCTGGAACACTCATCTCCTCGCACGGCAGCGGTCACCGAACAGGTCCGTTCTCCGCTATGTTCTTGGGCAGGACCCCGTCGAGGAGGACGCAAAGTGTGGCGATGAGTCACCCTCCAGGGAGTCAATGCACCGGCACGGCAGGGAATGACCGCTCTTGTTTTGCAGGATATCTGCGACTCTACAGACCTTGGTGGCCTTGTCTGACAGATGGCTGCCCGTGTTGCCCAAGCCCCCCCCCTGCCAGCCGCGTCCACCCCCTTCACCCCCCAGAGCCAACTCTCCAGAGGGTCAGGGGGCCGCGCCGACAGGCCCCGCTCAAGCCCAAGGGCCCAGCAGAGCGGCAGGCGACTTGAGCCAAAATGGCTACGTTCTTTCTTTCTTTCCTCCTCCGGCCTGGGGCT